GTAGCTTGTTAATGTAGACAATGCAAGAAACAATAGTTTATCGAAATGGTTCATTTTTGACCGTGCCCTGATTTGATTAAAAAAAATAGTACCTGCGTCACCGTGTGTTGGTTTGACAAGATGTACATGGTAAAATAACATGGTGTTTATTATTTTTATCGAGTCATGTTGTGCCAGGTCAGGCTAAGGAGACTGAAAGGTCACATTGTATGTCATTCGATTGGGATATGTTATCAATTTTTTAAAATACACTGGAGATGCCTTTCGCGATAGGTGGGTGACGACACTTTTAACTTAACAAATGACGCCATATTTTAGCGATACTCCAGCCTCGAAGCGTATCGGTGACCTGCAATTTCGTGTTTTAGTAATCTAGGGTTTATATGGATGACAATGATATCCCTGTTAAGACGGAAATCGGGGTTTCAATATGACTCTTTTGCTTACAGTGATGAGATAACGTAACTGGCCAGTTGCCAGACCTCGAACTGACCTCACGAACACAGAAATCAATTTATGCGATCTATTGAGATTACGATTCGCTGTGCCAGGCAATTGACTCACCTGTCGCCACGAAGTACATCAGCTTCCTGTCCTCGACGCTCGCAGTGTCTGCAGTTGCAGAGTCATCGGCCGTGCCGCTGTCGAGGGCCTTGACGGCGTCAAGGTGCTTACACCTGCCGCCCCCGACATACCCCGGACAGGTGCACATGTCCAGGGTGCTGTCCACGGTGTACAGGGTGCTGCCGTCTGTGGACAGCACGCTGTAGATGCCCGGGTTCTCCTGCAGGAATACAAAACGACGATACGCACCAATCAGTCATTGTCCTTTCGTTAGGCAGAGGCAGAGCTGTTTGTGGCGAAAACTCTGTTTGATTTGAATGACTAGCGCAGAATGTAAGGGTGTTGATTTAAGTACCTACTGGTAGAAAAAACGCCGAGACTGTGAACTGTCACTTGTCCGAGTGAATAAGAAAATTGTGTGTGTGTGAGTGTAGAGCTGGCAAAACAGCATCATTTTCATAACCTGTTAAGCGATGGTATTCAATTCCACTTTTGCAGTAGCAGTAAAGCTGTCGTGAGACCGCAGCAGCGCGAGACGGAACATGTGAGACCATAACGTAGTCCATCCACGACATCTCACCCCGTCGGGAGTGATGCGGTCCCGTGGGACGCTCACAGCGCTGCTTCGGGAGCCTCCCTGACGGGCAGCCGGTGGTCGCCGTCCACTGGCGAAGCTTACGAGCTTTCGCTCGTAGAAGTCGCTCAGTCTGAGGCTGACTACGTCGTGGAGCTGGAGGACGTCCTAGAGCCGAGTCCTGGGAAAGACACAAAATCACCCTCGCCGTTACGGACTTTTTGCCACCCTCGACGGTGCATACAGGAGGTAGAGAATCCATGACGGGTGTGAATTGATGATAAATAACTCAAGTTTATTGAAAAATGACTGAGTAATATGACTTGAGTGAAAAAGACTTTCAATAAACTTGGTTATGTATCGTCAATTCACATGCAGGACTTGGGACTTGGTACGACCCCCTCCCCCTCACGCATACATTACACACACACACACGCGCACGCGCACGCACACGCACACGCACACGCACATGCACACGCACACGCGCACGCGCACGCGCGCACGCGCGCACGCGCACACGCACACACACACACACACACACACACACACACACACACACACACACACACACACACACACACACACACACACACACACAGCGCAAAATGACCTCGCAGTTGACGCGCCCTAAAACCCCAAACAACAAATCACAAACGCATGCACGCACGTACAGCATAGCACATCCATATACCCTTCATGACACAGAAGTGATGCACCCCCCCCCCCTTCCCCGGTGAAGACTAGCAATCGATCGGCAGATAGCAAGGTAAAGGCGACAGACGGGACAGGGCAGTCAGCAAACGAGATAAGTAGGTAAATGATTGATAAGTTTAAGTTTGTTTCATACGCTAGCATTGAGCCGAATCAACTATTTTCGAGAGAGGGGAAGGTGATAACTGATAGTGGATAGATGCCTTACTTAATTTGCGCTAGAATGTCTTAAGATTTACCGGTGGAGGACGTTGTCCTTGAGAACCCTCATGGCAGCCTCCACGGTATTATTTGTGTTGTGGCCCCGTGTCGGGAGGCCAGCCCTGAAGCACAGGGCCCACTCCTGCCGCCGATCAAACAGCGCCTGCTGGTAGGCGATGAACCGCGGGTAGAGGGCACCCCACCGACCCTGCAGCGTCTCCATGGCCTCCGCGAGGCCACGCTCCGATGGTGCGTACTGCGTACACCATCTGCTTGGCCAGCCTCATGAGCTCTTGTCGATGCTGTGAACACAGATCAATCTGTTCAGGCAGGCAATTGAATAGCCAGACATTCATGGTGATGGGAGATGTCGGATTCTGCTTGGCGAAACACAGATAACTTCAAAAACAGATAATCCAGAATTGTGGACCGAAACCGAGCCATGTTAACGGTTCAGGATCCTAACAAAATGTTTTAGCGTCCCCAAAATCCTGCAAGAAGTGCCGCCTACGGCCTCGGCATCGCATCTCTGGTCTAACATGTGATCCGTAAGTGACCATTGCATTGAACAATAAGTGAGCATTTACCTGCTTATCGTTCTTGTGCATTCACTTTGTCAGTGCCTGATGACTGATGTCAGTGTCAGTGTTTGTCAGTGTTTCATTCTGTAGCAGACATGCAGTCATATTTGGTTAAATAGAACCTTGCAGTCTGAGGCAGTCTTTTCATTACAGTACCTCATTACAGCATCTCATTCATTACAGTTCAATATTTAGAAATGCAAGACATTACACATTAGGGCTGATCGGGCATAGAAATACAAAACAACAGTATATGCTTGCTGGCTGTTATTCTGAGACTCAGCATTGAACCTGCCATCACTACAATACAGGAGGCGACAGGTGTAGAGGTGATGTCATACTCATTTATCAAGTTCTGCTGACTTGACCCACAAGTTGACTCCATTATAAATATTGTCTCTTTATCATGAAACAGACTCAGAAACCTTGGCATGAATGCTCTCAGGCTCTCAAGAGAATGTTGAAATTCAGGTCTCAAAAGATTAAAATTACAATAATGAAATGTTTCACCTACCTTCCAAGCCATAAACACTCATACTGGTACTGGATGGAACTTAAAATAAAAAACAGGGGTGGATAATTAGGGGTTTGTAGCACCCCCTGGGATTTTCAGAATTCTCTACCGCTGAATAAAAAGGTTAATCATCAAAATATTATCACAATCACCCAGCAACACACGGTATATACAGCAACACAGCCCAATACCACAGACAGCCTATAAACAAGCAGTGATGGAGGCGTGTTCAAAAAGTTAATATGCAGCTGTCGACACTAAATAGTCGGTGATTTTCCGTTAGAAATTTTGCGCAAACACCATCTGTATGGGCCTTCGAACAGAACCACCACAATTGAAACAAAAGCGCCAAAAAACTGGAATGTTTGTTTTTTTCGCTCGGGAAAGATATATACGCAGCGTAAACCGTACTTACGGTTCGTTCACATGGCGTTGTAAATCCTGAACATGACATTTCTTTCACAAGTTGTTGACTTTACTAACAAAATGACGTTATTTCCTAGAAATGTCAAAATTTGATATCACATTTGGTGTTTGAGAGCAATTAGTTTACTGCAAAATATTATTAAATAGTAATCATAATTTTTACTGCCTATTTGTAGAGATACGAAAAAATAATTGCTTCTCCTTTGTTACTGACCTCATAAAAATTCCAATAAACTTTTAGCTTGAAAGAGGCAATTGTGGCTCACTCGTCCTTGGTGATTTGAGCGCAGCTTGAAGAAAAATGAAAAATCAAATCAAAATTGGAAAAATCAAAACAGGTGAATGATATACTGCCTTGGGTGAATGATGCAGGGAGACACCGGTTGGTCACGTGACTCGGAAACAAAAATCAGCTGATAGAGTGGCGGAATCGCCGTAATCAAACACGAATAATTCCGGACGATAGAGCGGCAGTATAGGAGCTTTCTTCACAACAGGCAAACATTGCAATGTTTTATCATTTTATGATCAAGAAACGTTCATAAACCATATATTTCTTCGATGATTACTGCCGCAACCGACGCGCACATATCGTAGCCAGCGCATAAAGCTGTGCTTTGCGATATTAAATGTAAAGAAAAACATTCTATATCTTGCTTCAACCTTCTACTTACGCTTTTATAATTACGACAGCGACACCATACGGCCTATCGACGCTATGCAACTCCATGGAGTGTCCGGCCGCACTCTTCCTAGTGTGCCGAGATCAGAGGCGGACCATTCGCGGTACGTCCACCTGCACTGCCCGGTCGCTGGGAGGGCGACACCTAGCGCCGCTCTGGCCGCTCGCTTCCGCGCACAACTTAGCTACCTGGCTACGCCTGTGGGAGGGGAGGAGGAAAACCAACAACAGTCTGATGAGCCAATGGAGTCTGCGAGCCGCGCCAATCAGCGCCCTTCCGCGCGCAGACGGGAGCTAGAGCTATTCATCTCCTTTCCTGTTTTCGCTGGTCCGCCAGTCACCAGCACCGTTCCGTACTCTCGATCGTAGCCATTCAGCCGTGTTGTCCTATACAACAGTCAGCAGCCTCGGATCGCGCCAGTCGGCCGCCAGAGAATCTATATTATCTATTTGCCGTACAGCATTGCAAGCGTTACAGTGTTTGCAGCCGGGTGTAATCAGTAGTTGACACATTTATGTTTTGTATCACAAAATTTAAAAATTCATTGAAATATATTCACTTTAATTTGCATACAGCTTTTGATTCTTGACGCGGATTGTTAGCCCTTGCTACATCAAACAGCCAACATCCATATTTCTGTTTCCAGAGCTGCAGTGCTGGACACCGAAAGTACATTATGTTCTAATTCAATCCAAAGGTACATAGATTTCACGACAAACTTCTAGGTTCCAGAGCAAGTATTTTCTCGCAAGCGCGCGATTGATTGCAGCTGGCGCGCTCACGATAACTAATATCGCGCTCGCCAAAACCTGCCGGTTACAGCCACTCACACCTTACTTCCAACCTCCGTCCCCGGTCCCATTTATCATTTATTAGCATATCGAGACAGAATGAGACGACATAATCGTCAATTTACATAACACAAATTGCGGGACGTCACCGGAGAGCCCGTTAAAATACCAAACCCCAATCTCGGCCAACACCGTTGAGACGGGGCGGGGGGGGGGGGGGGGCGGGAAGGGCTTGAAGCTGGGGGACGTATCGGCGTATCCTTCATAGACACGGGTGTTTCGCAACGCTGGAGCGTCGAGCCGAATTCGTCTCAATCGCCGCACTAACACAGCAGCGCTGCGTAGCGCGCTGCAGTACGCTGCCGTGAAACAGGGCCCAGGAGTAAGATGGTCTCGGCGGCGGCGGCAGCGGTGACGGCGCTTGTCACCGTGGAGCCCTTGAACGACGCCGTCAGCTCGAGCACCGGCGACTAGTGACCTGTAACAGAGCGAGTCGCGTCACGTCACGTCGTCACCTTTCAGTCGCGACGGCCGTTATATAAACAGTTACTGAGAACATCACGTACCAGCCACGGCGACTGTCACATTACAGTCACGGTGATCGTCACACAGCAGTCACGGCGACCGTCACAGGTCACGACGGTCATCAAATACCAGCCACGGCGAGTATGACTCATAGTCACAACGTCTTCTGTCGCACACTCAGTCATAATTACAGTACATTAGCCTGTGCATAAACATCTCATCCAAGAAGTCCAAGCCCGATTAGTACCCGCGTGGGGCTGCGGTTTGGTGGCGTGCGGCGACCGGCCCGACGGTTCAACGCCGGTGCTTACAGCGGGTCGATCCTGACCAGTTCAAATGGCAGCTCACCGACACAGACTGGACACCTGTGTTAAAGCAGCAGAGACCTACGGAGAAGTGGGAGGAATTTCGCAGGATTTTCCTATCACAACTCGACACAGTGGCCCAGGCGTCCACAACTCGACACAGTGGTGACCAAGGCGCAGCTGCGCCCTCCCCCCCCCCCCCGTTCACACAATTACTGACCTGGAGATAATGTGATGGTTTCTGGACAATGTGGCTTGATACTGGCCACCTCACTCTGCAACTTCCTGCCAGGTGACGTCCTTCAGCTGGATCGAACCGCTGTCTTCAGAACCGCCGACAGCAACGAGCCTGATGAAAGATAACATGCTCAGAACTAAAAAACCACAAAGCATACAATGGAAACGACTAAGCTGGCCACAGGCACGGTACACAACGGCGGTCTTTTATGCTAAGAAAGTTCCATCGCCACAAAAGATTGCAAATGGCTATGTTATAAAAAAAACTCAGATATCACATATCTAGTCTGATAATGGATACCTGGCCGCACGTCATGTGGATGGCAGCATGGCTTGAGCTGTGTGCTTTGGCATTTCCATGGTGAGATTGGGCCCCATGCATGGCGCTGGTGTTTCGTCTGCATGTGCATGTCTGCATCTACTGATCTGGGGTCCAGTTTCCAAGATCTCTTGAGTGTGCTGGGCTGCTAAGTTAAATGTCCGTGAAGTTGGCGACGTCGCCAGCGACTTTTCCAGCGACGAGCACCGATTTTAGCCAAAACCTCGTCCAAGGTCAAATGGACCATGAGGATCACGAAAATCGAACCCATTCACCCCTAAACCTTGACCTTCAAGGTCAAATTCAAGGTCAAAGGACGGGGAACTGAAAAAGTGCCACTAAATATTGTCCGATCTTCAAAATTTTGGCACCAAAATGTAGCGAGTGCAAAGTTCTAGCCGCACATCGAAAACCATTTTCATCAAGGTCAAACTTCAAGGTCAAATTCAAGGTCAAAGGACGGGGAACTGAAAAAGTGCCACTAAATATTGTCCGATTTTCAAAATTTTGGCACCAAAATGTAGCGCGTGCAAAGTTCTAGCCGCACATCGAAAACCATTTTCATCAAGGTCAAACGTCAAGGTCAAATTCAAGGTCAAAGGACGGGGAACTGAAAAAGTGCCACTAAATATTGTCCGATTTTCAAAATTTTGGCACCAAAATGTAGCGCGTGCAAAGTTCTAGCCGCACATCGAAAACCATTTTCATCAAGGTCAAACTTCAAGGTCAAATTCAAGGTCAAAGGACGGGGAACTGAAAAAGTGCCACTAGATATTGTCCGATCTTCAAAATTTTGGCACCAAAATGTAGCGCGTGCAAAGTTCTAGCCGCACATCGAAAACCATTTTCATCAAGGTCAAACTTCAAGGTCAAATTCAAGGTCAAAGGACGGGGAACTGAAAAAGTGCCACTAAATATTGTCCGATTTTCAAAATTTTGGCACCAAAATGTAGCGCGTGCAAAGTTCTAGCCGCACATCGAAAACCATTTTCATCAAGGTCAAACTTCAAGGTCAAATTCAAGGTCAAAGGACGGGTAACTGAAAAAGTGCCACTAGATATTGTCCGATCTTCAAAATTTTGGCACCAAAATGTAGCGCGTGCAAAGTTCTAGCCGCACATCGAAAACCATTTTCATCAAGGTCAAACTTCAAGGTCAAATTCAAGGTCAAAGGACGGGAAACTTAAAAAATGCTACGTCACCAGCGACTTTTCCAGCGACGAGCACCGATTTTAACCAAAACCTCGTCCAAGGTCAATTGGACCATGAGGATCACGAAAATCGAACCCATTCACCCCTAAACCTTGACCTTCAAGGTCAAATTCAAGGTCAAAGGACGGGGAACTGAAAAAGTGCCACTAAATATTGTCCGATTTTCAAAATTTTGGCACCAAAATGTAGCGCGTGCAAAGTTCTAGCCGCACATCGAAAACCATTTTCATCAAGGTCAAACTTCAAGGTCAAATTCAAGGTCAAAGAACGGGGAACGGAAAAAGTGCCACTAAATATTGTCCGATTTTCAAATTTTGGCACCAAAATGTAGCGCGTGCAAAGTTCTAGCCGCACATCGAAAACCATTTTCATCAAGGTCAAACTTCAAGGTCAAATTCAAGGTTAAAGGACGGGGAACTGAAAAAGTGCCACTAGATATAGTCCGATCTTCAAAATTTTGGCACCAAAATGTAGCGCGTGCAAAGTTCTAGCCGCACATCGAAAACCATTTTCATCAAGGTCAAACTTCAAGGTCAAATTCAAGGTCAAAGGACGGGAAACTTTAAAAATGCTACGTCACCAGCGACTTTTCCAGCGACGAGCACCGATTTTAACCAAAACCTCGTCCAAGGTCAATTGGACCATGAGGATCACGAAAATCGAACCCATTCACCCCTAAACCTTGACCTTCAAGGTCAAATTCAAGGTCAAAGGACGGGGAACTGAAAAAGTGCCACTAAATATTGTCCGATCTTCAAAATTTTGGCACCAAAATGTAGCGCGTGCAAAGTTCTAGCCGCACATCGAAAACCATTTTCATCAAGGTCAAACTTCAAGGTCAAATTCAAGGTCAAAGGACGGGGAACTGAAAAAGTGCCACTAAATATTGTCCGATTTTCAAAATTTTGGCACCAAAATGTAGCGCGTGCAAAGTTCTAGCCGCACATCGAAAACCATTTTCATCAAGGTCAAACGTCAAGGTCAAATTCAAGGTCAAAGGACGGGGAACTGAAAAAGTGCCACTAAATATTGTCCGATTTTCAAAATTTTGGCACCAAAATGTAGCGCGTGCAAAGTTCTAGCCGCACATCGAAAACCATTTTCATCAAGGTCAAACTTCAAGGTCAAATTCAAGGTCAAAGGACGGGGAACTGAAAAAGTGCCACTAGATATTGTCCGATCTTCAAAATTTTGGCACCAAAATGTAGCGCGTGCAAAGTTCTAGCCGCACATCGAAAACCATTTTCATCAAGGTCAAACTTCAAGGTCAAATTCAAGGTCAAAGGACGGGGAACTGAAAAAGTGCCACTAAATATTGTCCGATTTTCAAAATTTTGGCACCAAAATGTAGCGCGTGCAAAGTTCTAGCCGCACATCGAAAACCATTTTCATCAAGGTCAAACTTCAAGGTCAAATTCAAGGTCAAAGGACGGGGAAATGAAAAAGTGCCACTAGATATTGTCCGATCTTCAAAATTTTGGCACCAAAATGTAGCGCGTGCAAAGTTCTAGCCGCACATCGAAAACCATTTTCATCAAGGTCAAACTTCAAGGTCAAATTCAAGGTCAAAGGACGGGAAACTTAAAAAATGCTACGTCACCAGCGACTTTTCCAGCGACGAGCACCGATTTTAACCAAAACCTCGTCCAAAGTCAATTGGACCATGAGGATCACGAAAATCGAACCCATTCACCCCTAAACCTTGACCTTCAAGGTCAAATTCAAGGTCAAAGGACGGGGAACTGAAAAAGTGCCACTAAATATTGTCCGATCTTCAAAATTTTGGCACCAAAATGTAGCGCGTGCAAAGTTCTAGCCGCACATCGAAAACCATTTTCATCAAGGTCAAACTTCAAGGTCAAATTCAAGGTCAAAGGACGGTGAACTGAAAAAGTGCCACTAAATATTGTCCGATTTTCAAAATTTTGGCACCAAAATGTAGCGCGTGCAAAGTTCTAGCCGCACATCGAAAACCATTTTCATCAAGGTCAAACGTCAAGGTCAAATTCAAGGTCAAAGGACGGGGAACGGAAAAAGTGCCACTAAATATTGTCCGATTTTCAAATTTTGGCACCAAAATGTAGCGCGTGCAAAGTTCTAGCCGCACATCGAAAACCATTTTCATCAAGGTCAAACTTCAAGGTCAAATTCAAGGTTAAAGGACGGGGAACTGAAAAAGTGCCACTAGATATAGTCCGATCTTCAAAATTTTGGCACCAAAATGTAGCGCGTGCAAAGTTCTAGCCGCACATCGAAAACCATTTTCATCAAGGTCAAACTTCAAGGTCAAATTCAAGGTCAAAGGACGGGAAACTCTAAAAATGCTACGTCACCAGCGACTTTTCCAGCGACGAGCACCGATTTTAACCAAAACCTCGTCCAAGGTCAATTGGACCATGAGGATCACGAAAATCGAACCCATTCACCCCTAAACCTTGACCTTCAAGGTCAAATTCAAGGTCAAAGGACGGGGAACTGAAAAAGTGCCACTAAATATTGTCCGATCTTCAAAATTTTGGCACCAAAATGTAGCGCGTGCAAAGTTCTAGCCGCACATCGAAAACCATTTTCATCAAGGTCAAACTTCAAGGTCAAATTCAAGGTCAAAGGACGGGGAACTGAAAAAGTGCCACTAAATATTGTCCGATTTTCAAAATTTTGGCACCAAAATGTAGCGCGTGCAAAGTTCTAGCCGCACATCGAAAACCATTTTCATCAAGGTCAAACGTCAAGGTCAAATTCAAGGTCAAAGGACGGGGAACTGAAAAAGTGCCACTAAATATTGTCCGATTTTCAAAATTTTGGCACCAAAATGTAGCGCGTGCAAAGTTCTAGCCGCACATCGAAAACCATTTTCATCAAGGTCAAACTTCAAGGTCAAATTCAAGGTCAAAGGACGGGGAACTGAAAAAGTGCCACTAGATATTGTCCGATCTTCAAAATTTTGGCACCAAAATGTAGCGCGTGCAAAGTTCTAGCCGCACATCGAAAACCATTTTCATCAAGGTCAAACTTCAAGGTCAAATTCAAGGTCAAAGGACGGGGAACTGAAAAAGTGCCACTAAATATTGTCCGATTTTCAAAATTTTGGCACCAAAATGTAGCGCGTGCAAAGTTCTAGCCGCACATCGAAAACCATTTTCATCAAGGTCAAACTTCAAGGTCAAATTCAAGGTCAAAGGACGGGGAAATGAAAAAGTGCCACTAGATATTGTCCGATCTTCAAAATTTTGGCACCAAAATGTAGCGCGTGCAAAGTTCTAGCCGCACATCGAAAACCATTTTCATCAAGGTCAAACTTCAAGGTCAAATTCAAGGTCAAAGGACGGGAAACTTAAAAAATGCTACGTCACCAGCGACTTTTCCAGCGACGAGCACCGATTTTAACCAAAACCTCGTCCAAAGTCAATTGGACCATGAGGATCACGAAAATCGAACCCATTCACCCCTAAACCTTGACCTTCAAGGTCAAATTCAAGGTCAAAGGACGGGGAACTGAAAAAGTGCCACTAAATATTGTCCGATCTTCAAAATTTTGGCACCAAAATGTAGCGCGTGCAAAGTTCTAGCCGCACATCGAAAACCATTTTCATCAAGGTCAAACTTCAAGGTCAAATTCAAGGTCAAAGGACGGTGAACTGAAAAAGTGCCACTAAATATTGTCCGATTTTCAAAATTTTGGCACCAAAATGTAGCGCGTGCAAAGTTCTAGCCGCACATCGAAAACCATTTTCATCAAGGTCAAACGTCAAGGTCAAATTCAAGGTCAAAGGACGGGGAACGGAAAAAGTGCCACTAAATATTGTCCGATTTTCAAATTTTGGCACCAAAATGTAGCGCGTGCAAAGTTCTAGCCGCACATCGAAAACCATTTTCATCAAGGTCAAACTTCAAGGTCAAATTCAAGGTTAAAGGACG